AAAGTGATGTATTTGGAGGTATCAGCCAGCTACTGAGGCAGTGAGAACAAGAGGGGCTCAGAGGGAGGGAAGAAGCTTAGAGCTGTGGCACCTTCCACAGTAGTTTTTAGATACAGGACTAGTCTGTTTGTGGGCAGGGGGCTGAGAATCTAGGTTTATACAGATACAGGCGTCCTCAAACTACTACAGCCCACAGGCCACATGCAGCCCGCCGGCCCCCAGGTGTTTTTGCCACTGCTGCCTGTCCTCCTTAGCAGCCAACTCATCCCGGGGCCCGCAGTCCGGCCCTCCAATGGTCTGAGGGACAGTGAACTGGCCCCCTGTTTAAAAAGTTTGAAGACTCCTGATACAGAGAAGAATGATATGAACAGTGTAGATGTAGGAAAAAGTATGACTTGATTAAACACTACACATATGTTAAAAGGCAAATTAATGATAGAAAGGAACTTAATATGATAAAGACTATTGACAAAAACTGACAACAGACACTACATTTAGTGATGAATTCAAAAGCTTTCAACTTGGGCGGGTGTGGTGGCTCACTCCTGTAATCCTAGCACTCTGGGAGGCCCAGGCGGTTGTATTGCTTGAGCTCCTGAGTTTGAGACCAGCCTGAACAAAAGCAAGACCCGGTCTCTACTAAAAATAGAAAAACTGAGGGAAGAGGATCGCTCGAGCCCAAGAGTTGGAGGTTGCTGTGAGCCGTGATGCCATAGCACTCTACCCAGGGCGACAGCTTGAGGCTCTGTCTCAAAAAAAAAAATGTAATGTTTTCAGCACCTGTAGCTCAAGGGATAGGACACCAGCCACATAAACCCAGGCTGGTGGGTTCGAACCTGGCTCAGGCCAGCTAAATTAACAATGACAACTGCAAAAAAAGAATAGCCAGGCGTTGTAGCAGGCACCTGATCCCAGCTACTTGGGAGGCTGAGGCAAGAGGATCACTTAAGCCCAAGACTCTTAGGTTGCTGTGAGCTGTGATGCCATGGCACTCTACCGAGGGCAGCATAATGAAACTATCTCAAAAAAAAAAAAAAAGTCTAATGTTGTAACAGTTTAGAAAGGATAAACAAAAGGAGTGAAATTCTAAGCAGAAAGACACAGTTGTGGTTCATGCACTAGTGCTGATTCAGAACTCATTACCTACCAGTCCACAATAAGTACAGAAATTGAGGATTACACAGGTATGGGGAACCTGCAGCCTGGAGGCCACATATGGCCCTTTAGATCCTCAAGTGTGGCTCATTGACTGAATCCAAACTTCACACAACAAAGTACTTTATTTAAAGGATTTGTTCTGAGCTCCGCACACAGTAGTCACTCCTATAATCCTAGCTCTCTGGCAGGGGGGTTGCCTGAGCTCAGGAGTTCAAGACCAGCCTGTCTCTACTAAAATTAGAAAAACTAGCTGGGTTTTGTGGCGGACACCTGTAGGCTAAATCAAGAGGATCTTTTGAACTCAAGACTTTGAGGTTGCTGTGAGCTACAGTGACACCACAGCATTCTGCCCAGGGCAGCAGAGTCGTACTCTGTTTCCACACACACAAAAAGAAAAGGATCATGGGTGTGAGGCACTGCACCTGGCCTCTATGCTTTTTTCTGTATTTTTAATATTATTTTACTTTTAAAAAAAATTTTAAATTAAGATTTAAACACATGCATTAGCCTAAGCTCACTCAGTGTCAGGATCGTCAGTTTCCCTGTCTTCCACCTGCACATTTGTCCCATTGGAGGGTCTTCAGGGGCAGTGACACACATGTCATCTCCTATGATAACAGTGCCTTCTTCTGGACACCTAAAGGACCTTCCTGAGGCTGCTTTACAGTTAGCTTTTATAAATAGATGAAGTATACCCTGAAATAATAATCAGAAGTATAGTAAGTATAATAATTAGAAGTATAGGCCAGATACAGTGACTAACTCTAGCACTCTGGGAGGCTGAGAGGGAGGATCACTTGAGTTCAGGAGTTTGCGACCAGCCTGAGCAAGATCGGGACCCCATCTCTACTAAAATAGAAAAATTAGCCAGGTGTTGTGGTGGGTGCCTGTAGTCCCAGCTACTTGAGAGGCTGAGGGAGGAGGATCGCGTTGAGGTTGCTGTGAGCAAGGCTGATGCCACACTAGTTGGGGTAACAGAGTGAAACTCTCTCTCAAAAAAAAAGTATAGTAAGTACAGAAACCAGTAACATAGTCATTTATTATTATCAAGTACTGCGTGCTGTACATACTGGTATGTACTAGATTTTTATGTGGCTGGCAGTGCAGTAGGTTTGTTTACGGTAGCGTCACCGCAGACACTTGAATAATGAGTTGTGCTATGATGTGCTGATGGGTTTGACATCACTAGGTGACAGGAATTTTCCAGGTCATTATAATCTTACAGGACCACTGTCGGCTTGTTATTAACTCTAGCGTCATTGTGTGGTGCATGACTGTATTTTTAATTTCAGGGGAAAAAACCATAATATACATGGACTACAAAAAGATAAGTACTGGCTAGTACATAAGCTATGCAAAGGCAGGGTTTTTGCCTTTCTTCACTGATTTATTCTCAATATATAAACTGTATATTCTATAACAGTTTCTGGCACAGCCTAGTAACCAGTCATTAAATTATTTGTTGAATAAATGATGTGAATAGGGAAACACTCCAATTTCATAGTTTATTAAGCTCTTAAGGCAAAAGTTAAGTTTAAAAACATTTTCTCATCTCTATTGAATTTAAATTTTACCACGCAAAGCAAAACTTAAGTTAGTATCTTCTTATATTACAGAAATTTGTAAAGAAAGCCTCTAAAAAAATAACGGAGTATAATTTTTTTCTCTTCTAGTAAACGAAGCAAAAAAGGAGATAAAAATGGAAAAGGCTTGAGACATTTTTCAATGAAAGTGTGTGAGAAAGTTCAGCGAAAAGGCACAACGTCGTATAATGAAGTAGCTGACGAGCTGGTGTCAGAGTTCACCAATTCAAATAACCATTTGGCAGCTGATTCGGTAGGTAGACCATGAACCTGATGTTGACTGTAAGGAGCGATGCTGTGGTCCACCTCTGGGTTGTCTGTGTCATAGATTTGAGGAATCAGATAAGCTAGGGTATCCTTACCTCCCTTTCTTGAGGATTTTATATTGTTTTAGGGGGGACTTTTTATTGTTGGTTTTTATTTTGTTTTGGAGAGAATTTTTTCACTTATTTAGACAAAAAATATTTTTTAATGTAATTGTGGGGGTTACCAAACCCACTCGATTTTTGTCG